TTTCTCTCAACCTGTGATAGTATTTTTGATTTGCTAATTAATATCACACTCCCTTGGGCACAGGAATTTTCACAAGGTAAGTACTGATCTTCAAAGGCATCTGGGGTCCCACTCTGCAACTCAGCAGGGGGGTGTATATGTCCAACCTTGACCTTTCCTGTGCCCGAAGCCGGGCCCCTCCAGTGGAGAGAGATAGAGGAATAGTGGTTGACAGCACTTTGAGGGAGGTAGGGAGGCAGGATCACGTTCAAGCCAGGGCTCTAAGCCACCAGTGTGTGCTGCATTGTCTCATTGGACTCCACTTACAAAACACACATTCAAAAATAAGATTTTTAAGATTTCAAGATGGCAACTGTAGAGCACTAAACCCAAGTGCAGGGCTCTCTTCTGTGCATGGGCCCTGTGCAACTGCACTGGTCTCACGTCCATGAAACCAGCCCTGCCTCTCATACACATTTCAGGATCTTGGAATATGAACACTGGTTGTTTTACATCTTTAAATCTTCCGCAGCACTTGTGCTTACATTTGACATTGCATTAGCTGGAGCGTGAGGAATTGCTGCTATTAATTAGCTATTTTTCAATATGAGAAAATGAGTAGAAGATTGCAGGCTCAATGATCCATTGCTGAGCAGCGAATGAAAACACTCTCCTGACCTGAATGAGGGGAGTTGGTTTTTACTCAAACCCAGTGGGACCTCTGAAGGAAAAGCGTACCCCAGAATAAGTCCCAATGGATAAGCTTTATTAGCACTGGAGACTGAGAGTGTAAGAAGGAAGAGAGTGTAATTGAACAAATGTGAGAGCTCAAAATTCCCTGACATGCCTCTGAGGATCCAATGTCTTCATCCGAGGATGTGTTCTTCCAGAAGTGAAAAAATTACACATGTGTGCTTATGTTCTACTGGAGACGTGGAAACGAAAGCCTGTTCTGATCAGTCACCCTGAACAAAACTAGATGATCCAGAAAACGGTGCTTCATTGCACAGTGGCCTTTCAGCGAGTCCTTTACTTTGGCCTCTTCTGCTAGGGAAACAATGGAGGGCAGTGTGGCGTGGGGGCTGCTGGGTCCTCATGAGACCCTGGCTCCAGGTGTGGCTCTAACAATTTAGGATCCAATTCTCATCTTTCAGTGAGCAGTTCAGTCCTTTCCCGGCCTTGCCTGCTATGATTGAATGAACACAAACAGGTGCTTTTACTCGCTATTATCTCTAAACTGCTTCAGCATGAACACTGAACAAGGAGTAGTGTTATTATTTCCGAATTAACCATGAGGTAATTATAAAGCAACATCTTACTATCACTTTGAGATTTCTATTAATCACATGAGCATATATTCTCCAAATAGTTCTTAAGCAGGTTTGATTGGTCTTCATGATGATGAAAAATGAAGTTATTGATCGACATCCTCTTTATTTCTGCTTTCATATATTTTGCAGAACTGAGGAAATGACTCAAGAGACCTTTTTTCGGAAAGATTTTTTCAAACTCTGTTTACCACACTTTTAACACTCAAACTAATCTGAGGCATAATATGTCATTGCTCACCTCTGAAAGATCCAGAAGTCTTGGCAAATGCAATTGGACAGACATATACAAGCAGCAACAGAAAGGCAGAATTAGATGTATTTTGGAAGGCAAGGGTCCCAGAAGAAATAACAAAAATAAAGATTTTAGTGATGCCTTAAAAAAGAGCTCCCTCCACTTTGCTGTAATTTGAAAAGAATTTTTCCCCTATACAAAAACAACTACATAGTAAGTTTGGATTTTCTGGAATTAGAGCAATAGCTATTAAAATGTTATTTTATGTGCTCCTGTGGCTATTTTTTGAGATGTATCACTCTTGGCCACAAGCGCATATGGAGGATTTGATACGAGCACACCACTGCCACAAGCATCAAGGCTGTAGTCAGAAGAACCATAGCTAGAGTCTTAGCTACAGGCTGGTAAACTGAGACCACGGGAGAGGGCAGAAGTTTCCCCAGAGGTGAAATATGTTCAGACCTCACAATGAACCACCTGACTGGGAACCATCAGGAGGACCATCAAACTGGTGTGCAGGTTGCTCAGAAAAACAAAAATAAAGGCAAGGATACAGACCAAATCTCTGCTTGAAGGGGCTCCTGCACTGAAACAAATGAATTCTAATATGAGGGCAAATGAGCGGTAGGCCAGCTGAGTTCTGAGTATCAGAAAATGGGGCAAGAATTAAAGGGACGATGAGATTACTAAGGGCTTCCCAGGTGTTAACGACTGCTCGGTCAGCCCATCAACCAGGGTAGACAGGAGAGGAAAGCTTGAGTGAGAATATTCAATGATGAAAAGGTGCCCCCCATAGGTAAATATTCCCTTCCGCTCAGAAAAAGGAGGGATGTAAAAAGTCTGATTTCTGTGGGAAGTCTCTAAATGTCACCCCAGACCCATGGTTTGGGCTTACTGTTCATGGATGCATGCATTTGTTCCACACAAGGGCGTTTCCGCTGAGCTCGACATGCCAGGGTGTGGAGTAAGATGAAGCCTTGGGCGTGTGTGCTTTCTAAGATAAAATGATGATAGGGGCCTGTTCCTTGGCATGGCCCGGCATCAACCTCTGTGGCAGGGCAGGCCCTATTTACCCATGGGCTGGTTTGCCCCACACCAACTCCACAGCACCAGGGTCACACCATCACCTGGGACTCCCATGATGTGTCACAATGTAGGGCAGCACCTCTCCAGCTAGCACAAAAAAACAGAAATGAATAAATATAATGCACTTTTTATCCTCTAGCTTGAACATCTCCTTTATGAAATTCAAATTTTTTAAAGCCATCTTTGAGCATCGTATATGTCCCAGCATATTCTAGGTTCTGTGGAGGTGACAAAAACATTGACATATTCTGACTTCCTCCCATGGGAGGACATGAAACATAGAACATAGCTCTCAGGCAAGAGTATAGCAAGAAACTGGCTCTTGCTTCATTCAGACTTTTGATATTAGGTGAGACCAAGGTTGAGGTGAAGATTGGACCCTCCCCCTGACACATACACCACACAAAGTGCAGAGGAAGAGGCTCTTGTGATTCCAGAGCCACTGAAGTAACAATATTGGATGAAGGAGAAATTTCTTCTCTTTTACTTACAAGGAACCTAAAGCTTAAAGGGGAGAAAATGACTCATTGAAAGAAGGAAGAAGAACAGAATCTAGTTCTCCTGGCTCCTAGTTCCAACGAGGAGCTCCTCAAATGGATTTTCAAACCCAGGGTGCACCTTCAGAGGCCATGTTGTTTCCATGATGAAGATGTTCCCAGGAATGTTAACAGATATTAGGGAAAACAAGGAAGAACAACCAGGTTCTGTGGTCACTTAAGTTTAGGAGAATCTTCTTGAAACAACACAGCAAAGATTTCACGCCTGTAGATTTCTTAGCACATATGATTTCTTAAATCATACGATATGTGAATTATCATTTTCTAAAAGGGAGATGGTTGGGCCCTGAATTCTCTCTCTCTAT